GTTTGTAATATTGCTATATTTTTATCCTTGTTTTCAACGTAAAAATATGATAAACAAGATCAACAAGGGAGGCGGCGTTCAATGACAACCCAGCAACAAAAACTAGTGACAAGGAGGCCAGGAGGACCCCAAACAAAAACTGGGCAGGGCGCAAGGCAGGGTAAGGAAAGGCTAATCACTTAAATGATACTTTATTAAGAACGCAAGCACAACCCAAAAATCTTTGCATGAAAATCACAGGCTAATCTATGCATCTTTCGTCGACAAAAGAGTACAAAACACACAATAGTGGAAGAGATGGTTCTGACATTAACCGTTTTATTATTCAGCATAAACGATAATTGCTTACATTATAATGACATGTAGTTGAATGCATTGCCTAAATGTCTTTAAATAATAAAGATGTTGCATTTTTTCATTATCCCTCATTTACAGAATCAATCAAACCGAGTCGGCAAATTTCATGTAATTTTACTGTTTAAAATGTTTCGAGGGAATGCTTTGTTCCAGATATATACTTAAAAAGCTTTGCTTCTAATACAGAAAATTGTCAATTTGCATCTGTTGGTCACTTAAGTTAGATAAACTTCGATAGCTTTTATTATATACAGATCTGGGGAAAGGATGCTCCTTTGGACCACAGACACTTGGGGTTTGGAGCTCAAAACGCCTTTAAAATCCAAATAAAATGCATATTTGTCAATCCCAGCACATGTACTGATCATATATATCAAAAAACTTAATATAAGCCGTTTTGAAAAAAATTCATATTTCAACATCTATAATAATACACAAGATAAAAATGTTCGCCGGAAAAAATCCGCACCCCTACCGTCATAATCACCATGTATTTAATTCCATTTCCAATATTTTCACATAATCCTTTGGTCCATCGACACAGAAGATATAATTCTTCACGATGATGGTCAATTTTTAACTTCAACGGTAATATAAACAACGCAACAGCCGAAATAAACATCAAGATTATCGCCGTTTCCCTCTATTGACAAAATCTTTCGATAAATTCAAACGTGCCTGTCGGCTATGACCGAAGCCATCCGATTATGTGGTTCCCAAACTTAAAAGCGCTGCGCATTTTGCACACGGCAAAGCTGGGGCCACATAATCGGATAGCTTCGTTCATAGCTGACTGGTCCATTGAATTTATCGAAAGATTTTGTGAATGAAGGAAAACGGCGATTATGGTAGGGGTGCGACCATTTTTATCTTGTGTATTATTATAGATGTTGAAATATGATTTTTTTTTCAAAACGGCTTGGATTTTAAAGGCGTTTTGAGCTCCAAACCCCAAGTGTCTGTGCTTTGGATCATTATGCAGACTCGCTTTAATTGAGTCTGTACATGCGGTATAATGAGAAAGTGCAACATCCTTCACGCCCTCACGAAATCAAATTTCGGGTCGATGGAATTAAAATGCTCATTAAAATTACATTAGTTTCAGCATTTCATTTTTTTTTGTCAAGAATAATAATCTAAATGAACTTTAATTTTGGGACTATACACCGCTTTTAATGATGATGGACTGGTGCGTATGTACCATAATGAAGATGTTATGATAGCCACCGTAGGAACTAATCTGCGGCTGTTTCTAAATTGAATATCTCGCCATTTTCTTGTCAAAGCCGGTGCTAGGGGGCGTGGGCGTTAGCTTTAAATTCCATCGACTGTCCATGAACCGGTCAAATCAAATCAAACGTGCGACTATTCAGTATATTGCTGTTTAGGACTTTCTTTAGGAATTATGTTTCTCTCTATCTATTTTTCGTTCCTGTATACATAAGTATCTACACAGGTTTATCCACTTAAAAATTCCATTTTTTTCTTTTGTCGGAGAAAGTGTTTATATTTATAAAAGCTTCTAAAAAGCTTCTAAATATTCTTACTATGATTGTACAATTTATTTATTACTTGCTAATCATGTTATTTTAACGTTCATAAAAAATTATTGTTTTTTTTCCTAAATTTACGTATATTTACAAATTATTAATAAGCAAAAAAAAAAAAAAAAAAAAAAAAAAAACGGAAATCATGGTTTAAAGATCTGAAAATTTGACGCACAGTACTGCAAGGTTCCTCTCCTAACCAACGAAGTAGTTTGTTTACTTCTGATTATGTTGACACTTATATCTCAGGCCCATCAAGAAGGGTATCAAAATTACCTAAATTGTCCACACTACAGTACCATGTGCCCGGACAGATATGTAATGACGCTGATTTAATTCAGATAACAGCTAGGGTGTTTAAATCTTATATTTTTAACACGATAAGCAATATTTCATCAGCAAATGCTGATGTTTTGGATATTCTACTGTTTACTTTGCAAATAATCATAGGTAGTACAAAAGGCCAGGTATAACACTATTGACTCCAAATTTTCAATGTCAACGTTTTTGAAATAGACATTAATGTTTACCATTTACATCAACTGAAAACAATTGAATTACTTAATTATAAGAAAATTATGCTTTTATTGTTGATTAAAAAGTGACTGATAAATTGATAACCACCGTAAAAAAAAGAAGAAAAACACAATCAAGCATTTTTAGGCCGTCCGGGTTTGATGGCTGTGCGATTTTGGTGGTTCCCAACCAGTAATATAAAAGAAAATTCAAAATAACAGCAAACAGTTCAATGCTGTACCACTTCCCTTATTAATGTTAGTGGTAAATATCAGCTATAATCGTCTTTAAATGCTCAACAATTTTGTGTGTTAAAGCTTCAATAAAACAATTGCATCTTGGCATAAACATAGCAGATAAAACAAAAAGTCTCTAGTTAAGATGTAAAGAAAACGGTACAAATCAAAACAATACGTACTTTGTATGTATTTGATATATTTATGTCAGAGCTAATGAAGTATAACTGAGAAATTATGGCACTTCATCAAGGCACAATAATAATAAATAACAGTAGATATAGCTTGTCTTATTAGAACACGCAGGTTGCAAGCGATAAACAAGTTACTTCCAAGGTTTAAAGGCTCATTATGCCTCAGAAATGCTATACTTGTTATTGCTCACATAAAGTGTGATCCCTCGGAAGCATTAATCACAACAAAATTACATGAAAATAGCAGACTCGCTTTTATTAAGTCTGTACATGTGATGTAATGAAAACGAGCAACATCTCTCAAGCCCTCTACACGCCTTTAATATGATATAAACTTTGCCGACAACTGTTTTCAATTAGAGCCTTTTGGCGTCAATTAATATTAAGGTTCTGCTTCACGTTTATATACAATATCTTTGCACATAAACTAAGGCACAGGAGTGTTATAAATCCATGAAATAGAAAAGATATTACACTAGTGTAATAATACTTGAAGTGAAGCCATTTGCGATATATTCAAAAATTGCGTAAACATGCGCTAATAGTGGCGCCAACGAAATTGACTTTTTTTAACTGTAATCCGCTCTTATTCTAGGTATAAGATTCAACTGGTTTACGAGTTATGGAGATTTTTTCTTAACTAAAACTTGGCTATCAGAAGGGCTCTTTTCAAAAATTGAAACATCTAATATTCTATTATATAGTCATTATGATTTTCCCCCTATTAAGATTGTTAAGAAAGAAATGATAGCATGTAGCTAACAAATGACACAAGCAAAATTATTGTTACTTCTCAAAATAATTTAAATATATAAATATAAATGTTACCCTACCCCACCCATTTTAATAGTTGTTTGACCAGTTTCCTACTTGAAAATATGCTTCAAAATATCTCTAAAATTTATCAAAATGAGGAGCTGTTTTCAAAGTTTGCCTTAATTTTCTTAAAAGTATATTTGTGGAGCTTATCAAATATACAATACTTTTACCGTCTGGTTTTTATTCTATAAGACTTTGAAAATATCATGTCATATATTTTTTATAATAATTTTGGCATAATTTAGCCAATAAATACCGATAATAATTTTATAATTAAAATAATACACTTGTGTCTTACCAAGAGTGATCCGAGAGACACATAAATAGTGTTCAAAGAAAAAAGTTGCATCTTCTTTGGCTTGAACCGGTGTCCCTCAGTTTAAATGCAGTTGACAGTAGTTCTAGCCTATTTGAATACTCTTCATAATGGAGGTAATGCATTAGGTGGCTTATCCCTTAATTTGGACAATAAATTGAGTATCAAAAAATCTACACTCATTCAATATCCTCTATATATATGCATTTTCCTTCCTTTCAAATAAATATTTTTGCTTTCTTCATGTCGATTTTTTATACACTTTGGTCATATATCGGCTATTTTGTTTAAAATATCATATGAACTATATACAATAGGTTTCTGAAAAATGCAGATTTGAAGTAAGGAGCAATAATGAAATATAGCCTATATTGCGCTTATAATTTTGACAGTCAATATAAAAAAAAAAAATTGTTAATGTAAGACTAAGGGATACAATGTTCAAACAAAGTTCAATATATCTTTGGAATGTGTTATTAGTTAACCATAACAAATGGCTGTCAATGTCAAATCCTTATTCGTGTTGCCATTCTGTGTTTACGATGGACATTACAACAAAGTGATTATCCTTATAAATATTCAGCTGTCCTATATCTTGTTTTTGATTGGTTTTATAGTGTTTCAACACGGTAAAGGTCACATGGTGCCGAAAAAGGAATGATGACTTTGGCTTACCTTGGGTGTTACAAACTGAAATCAACACCAGGGGTCAAAACCGCCCCACCTACTGGAGCTAAGAGATGCGTTGACAGTTATTCGAACCAGTTAAGTCGCCCCTTACGATCATGCAGGGTTAAATGGTGGTTGCACGCTGATGCCACAACCCTTATTTTAAAGATTTTTAAAGATATTATAAAAAAAATTAAAATGTTTTAAAATTAATTTACCTAGTCCCAGACTTTCGCCTAGAAAAGATGTGGCGAACAACCTTAAGTTCGACCTACGCAAATAAAGTCGTTAGCATAAAGTGTTTATTTTCAATCATCTCTTCGATTGAGGAAGATTTACTTCAATTTTTGGGGATTTATTTTAGCTTATCAAGTATATCACCTTTTGAAAGGAGAAACGTTTGAATTGATAGAAAGACAGATTTTTAAAACAAAAACGCTTTAAAATGTTTTTCTTTCTTCTTGTATTTGTGAAAATTATTCTGATAACATCTGGGCATCCCCATGAAAGAAGAGAAAACGATGAACCAATTTGTTCAAAATTTGACTATGAGGAAAAACTTTTAGAAAAAATGATAAGAATGGAGATGAAAATGGAAAAGATAATAGAGGAAGTTAAAGATAAAGAAAAGGACGTTATGACCATAGCGACCGATGTGTCACAAAGAGTTAGCAATATGGAGAATAACGCCATTCAGTTTCAGCGTGATGTCAACCGAACAATGATTGGGCTTTCTGATAACTTCGAAGAAGAAACAGCTAAACTTGTAGCTTTAGCAGGTATAAATAGTTTTAATAGTTTAAGTTTTAACTAAAAGTTGATTTTATGCTTTGATTTATGTTTTACGGTAAGTATCTTGCCCCTGATTTTTATTTCCTTTATTTACCGCCCCCCCCCCTTCCTCGGGTCTTCTGTCCCCTTCCCTTGTGCCCTTTCACTTTATGGGCCTATAATTCAATCAGTTATTTGTTTTCTTTGAGTTCCTTATCAGTTACTGTTTGTTTCTTTTTATGTATGATTTTAGTGATTGACCTGCCCATCCTCTGCCTTTTGCCCTGTTCTGTATTTTTGGGGGGTCCTTCTGGGCTCTTTGTCACTGACTCCTGTTGCTGGTTCACGCGGGGGTTGCGTTTATTGAACGCCACCTTTCCTTGTTGATCTTGTTTATCATATTCTATTTATATACTAATTCTACTGAGGTATCCTTTTCAGATGACATACCGATTGTGACAAAATAAACTAATTTAACCCTTTCGCTGCCAGAGGGTTTATTGTTTTATTGTTCACCTAATTGCCAGAGGATTTTCTAAGAAATTACTATATTATTAATTAAAATAATTATTATTATTTTTTATTAGTATTATAATTATTATATATGTTTCCAAATCTGTTAGTATAATAATAATTATTGTCGATGGTATAATTTTCTTTATATTTATTATTATTATTATTATTATTATTAATTTATTATTATAACTATTATTATTATAGAAACGGCTAAAGCTGTCCATATGGCAAATACGCCGAAAATAACAGGGACGGCTTAAGCCGTCCCTATGGCAGTGAAAGGGTTAAGACAGCATTCTTTTTTTCACGAAGACAATTATTTTTCTTGTTGTCTGACTGCTCCGTTTTTCATCACACTTAAAATGATCTACATCACTTATAATAGTAAGTTGGATAGTTATGAGATCATCAGTTTATATAAGTAATTATGTGTTAGTCTTTCACAAAATGGTCATAATTTTCAACACTGGTTCTCGCTTTTTTTGCAGACAAATCGCTGTTGCCTATCGTCGGATTCAACGCTCGTTTATCTTCGACAAAAACAGTGAACACAGGGAATAAGGTGTCTACGATACCGTAATAACAAACCAAGGCGAAGGTTACGATAGTGTCACGGGAGTATTCACTGCACCTCACAATGGACTCTATTCTTCACAGCAAGTTTGTAATCAAGGAAACAAGGATATTCAGTACGCAAATATACCAAGAAGGTACACTCATAACCACCAGTACACAGTTTTTGATAATGGCGGCGTTTATAGTTGTAGCTCTGTAAGCACCATCGCCATGGTAAACAAGGCGGAGCGGGTGTGGGTACAAAGTTTAGATACTTCTGTGTATTACGTCGACACACGCAGATGGAATACATTAATTTTTGCTGGATCGCTTTTGATCAGACAAGTTCGTTGATTGTATAAAAACACTTATTTGTTTATATGGTCAACCTGAAAATATATTAATCACATGACTCAACATAAAACCGTGTATCTGTAGAATACACATAGTTTGTAACACAAAAACGCGCACTTAAAACAACGTCAAATACATATACTTTTATTCATCGTAAAAAGGAATATCCTATTCTTTTGTTGTTTTCTATGAAAACATGAAAACGGTAAGTTTGAATTAATAGTGAGAGATTGTCCTGGTTTTCATTATCTGTTTCCTAATTATCTTATTTATATCTTATAATGCTACTAAGCAAGGAGTTTTTTCATTGAGATTAAAAAATGTCAGCTAAATATCATGAATGAAAAAATAACCGAAACAAAGAAAATTGAGAAATTAAAGCAAATAAATATTTTTCAAGAGAAAATAACAAGCATTTGTACTTAGCATTTTGCTATACATGTATGTTTTGATTCCGTTAGTAAATTGATCGTTAAAAGAACCCATGACTCATAAATAAAAACACGCTTCCTGTTTATAACAATTAAGTCAATAATTCTATAATATACAATTTTTATACTTGATGTTATCAGATAACTTGACATTTAAAAAAAAGAAATAGAAGATCAACAGCAGAACAATCCACAGACACATTCCGCGTCCGTACTGTCTATTTGTTTCTAAATTAAAAAAAGTCACCATTTCCCATGTTTAAATGTTGAATTCTGCTTAATCCGTTGCTATAGGGTGAGGACGGTTTAACATGCACTTTACAGTGCCGTCCATGAAACAGGGCCTGCAACATTTTCAGTTTTATCGTTTTTGGTCGTTCTTTTGGGATTCCGTTTACTCAACTTTTATGCCAAGTGTTTTAGTATTGTATAGGCTTTGAATTAGCTTCATTATAAATTTTTTGCAGATATATAAATCTCGTGACTTTTTAGTTCAGTTATTTCATTCACCACGATTATATGTCTCGGCACATTACTATCTTTGTAATTTCGAGTCTATGGTTTTTAAAAACCTCCTTCATTAATGTAGAGTTTAGGTCATTTTTAGTAATCAATTTGGAAGTTCGTTAATAAATGTCTTCCTGACTGATGCCTGACGATGATAGGGTGATAGCGGGTTGGGAAGTTTGCAGTCAATTATATTAAAGCAACACTGTCTGCTTTATATTCTTTATTCGCTGATTAAATCGTGATATAACACACCAAACAAATCTAGACTTTTAACTCAACGACTTTTTGTGCGGGATAGCTTTTTTTGACGAGATAATGATAGGGAAATAATATTTAGATCGACATTGGTTTATCTATTCTGGCGTATCATATTGTGATGACACAAAACGTTTTTTATTTTGCATATGATACAGACAGAAAAGAAAAATTAAAATACTTTGGCAACCTGAGTGATACTCGGAGTACACGGCATTTCTTACAAATCAGATAGCCTCGTATTTCAATGCTCTTTCTTTTACATATTCGACCTATGTTTTGTTTTATGATTATTGTTTGATTTATTGCTCATAAATCCGCAATTAATATAAATTTTAACTAATGTATTCAAATTTATAAATTTATATAGAGGGAAATATGTCTACAAGTATAGTTAAGTGGCAATATTTAAACAGATTTCCTTGAAATTTATGTGTAAAAACTATACATAACAAAATTATGTCTTGTTACAGACACCTGCATATGAAAGAAATATATATATAGACCCATGAAACATGAATTAGGAAGTATTCTTTTAACGGAAAACTTAAAAGGGTAAATAAAATTTTTCTAAGATGAAAACAGGACAATCGCATAATCTAGTTTGTTTTTATATTTACCTAATTTTGGTTTATTTTCAGATTTTTAACAATAAAAATAATTATGCATAAACATACAATATATTGAGATATACATTTAAAGGGGAACAAAACATTTTTAGGATTCTACAAAGATTATAAAGAAAAGTATTTCATTAGCATCTTGCTAATATTGTAATTGGTTTTAACATAGTTATTTAAGCTCGATTGTGAAACAAGTTATTGCAATTTATATCTATTATTTTCGAGACTTCCTGGAACCAACCAGTTCTAGTGTCATGTGTAGAAACATTGTCAAAACCCGCTTAGAGCTCGAACCCATAATCCCTGGGTATGGAGGCAGACACCTTAACCACTAGGCTACCGCTCCACAAACTAGGCCATCGCTCTCTTGTATATTGAAATACGTTATTAATGCCAGACCTAAATATGTAAATATATCATTAAAAAAAATTTCTTTTTAGAAGTATTACATAAGAAGCCTATAGAACTGCTTGAACATAAAGGCAATATCCAAATATATCATATTATTACTTATTTTTTCTGCTTAGGGGAAACAGCTCCTATTATTTTAATAGTGATGTTCATTTAAGAGTTGTACATCTTGTCATGAATATCATGAATACTTTATGCATGAATACTAAATATCATTAGGAAGGAAAAAAAATAGAAAGATTAAAGGTCATAAAAGTTTTCAAGAGAAAAATGGCAGTGGGTTTTACCCAAGATCAAAGCTTAAATAAATGATCTTAAACATTAATCTTGATTTGGCTGCAAGAAAACATACTTGCCCAATAAATTGTGAAACTGTAAAACCCTACAATTATTTTTTAATGCGCATGCGTAATCAAAAGTCTACAGTGTATGGTCATTTAATGTGAGTCTCAATCTATTTAGACTAGGAAAGTCTTGGTCAGTTAGTGAATATGATACTGCACCCAGTGAATATAATCTTATAAAAGTTCTGTTGACTACCGTTTGTACCAATGTGATTACAGTCATATTTAAATCATATTATAAAGAACATGGACTTCTTTTGCAAAATGGTTTTTTGCAAATGTAGTAAGTTCTATAAAATCAAAGATTTGGCAAAAATATGCAGTGCTTAACAGTTAAACTATAGAAAAGTCATCTCAGCGCTATATCATTCGATGGTAGGTATTGTGTTGACATACAGGAGTTGCGATTAACATTAACAAGATTATTTTAACTTACTTTCAACCAAATCGCCTAACATTTGTCTAGTCCAACGCCCAGACTAAATGGTAGTAACGGCATAATACATTTTAATGTATACATTTGGAATTTAATTCCCCTTTCATAAAAGAATTATAGAACTATAAATGTTTTATAGAACATTACCTTAAATGTGATACTGTTTCCCAAGTCTTTATTTCATATTAAATATGAAATAGGTTATCTAGTCAAGTCAATTAAGAAAATAAGTTTATTTATTCTATATCGTTTGTGTACATCCAACCTCTGCCTATGAAATATTCTACGTGACTATTCAATTTATTTAATACAGAAGACACTTATTGAGTCTATAATTGGAAGGCCAGTTCCAGCTTAAACATGTTTCCCGAAGTGTGGGCTTGTTCATTGCCTATCAAACTCCAATATGAATTATTTGTTCCATTCGCCCGGACGTTAAAGTAACAAAATAAAACTTTCAGCTAAACTATTTTTACAAACGGGACAGAGCAAAAAGATGAGATCACGAATACCCAGGGGGCCGGAGAAAAAGAAATTGTTGACAAAACATTTATTTTTCATAAATTAAGTATTTGTATGGACTGTGAGTCAACAATTTTCTTTGTTACTAATTTCCCCTTCTTAGTATGGACTATGAGTAAATCATTTTCATCTGTCTGTTATGAGCATTCTTATTAAACTTTTATTTGTATGGACTATGTGTATATCATATCATCTGTTATGGTATTCACATTGCCCCGTATTTATATGAACTATGTGTCAATTTTTTTCCTTTCATCTGTTATGAACCATCGTATTTCGCCGCATTTGCATGGACTATGTGTTAATCATTTTCATCTGTTATGAACATTCGTATTTCCTACTGCAGCAAAAGCAGACACTGCTCTTAAAGCAGACATTGTCAGCTTCACAAAATTGTTAAGTTTGGAAAAATCGATTAAGTTCTGATGGAAAAATGAATTGAAACATTACCTCGAGTTAACTAGACGTACACTGATTTACTTTTTACATTTTTCCGTGTATTGAGGGGCTATTACCGGTGAACGCTGTACAACAGTGTATATGCTTTTATCAGCTTTCATGAATATTCGTATTTTACCTTATTTGTAAGGGCTTTATGTGCAGCATCTTATCTGTTATTAATTTTATTATCTAGATCTACTTCTGACATTTGTTCGAATGCATTATCATAAAACATTCTCATATATTAAAATTATAAGTATGATATAGTCATTTGTTCTGAATATTACTTAGTATGGCATAATAATCTGTTATGAATATCTCGTCATTATCATTTGTCTTGAATATTACTAAGTATGGCATTACCATATGCTATGAATATTACCAAGTATGACATTATCATCTGTCCTGAATATTACTAAGTATGACATTACCATTTGTAATGAATATTCATGCATATAATATATTTAAATTTTGTTTTACAGCCAGGCGTTTTACTCATCTTGTGTCGGGGTAAACAAGTTTCATACGAAACCTATTAGCGTCATCTCAAAGCAACTACTCCTGGAAAATGCTCAACACAGTCTATCCTTAACCACGGAACTATATCACTTGATTTGTTTATGTTTTGCGTGGGGCAAAAGTCTAATACAACAGACGGTTCACATGGTTTAATTCTGTAACTTTTCAAGATTTTCTGAACTGACAAAAACTATAAAATGTTGAACATTTTTTTCCAAGGAACCATTTTATAAATTGGTTCTTGCTACAGTGAGCAGGCTGTCCACTTTATTAAAAAATATGTTGAAATATTTCAAAATTTAAAGTAGAAAATAAATATGGACCGTCTTATGTCTTGGTTTTCTTACCCACGCAAAACACAAAATTCACATGGTATAGCCATACAATACTGTTCATCCACGGATACGTATTATTTAATAGTAGTTTGCTATATATAATTTTAAAATGACAATAAAAACATTATACGAGATTCATGTCACATCATTACAACTTCATGTAAACAACACCGACCTGTAATAGTTTCAATTTTGATTAAAGTAACAACGTAATTCCCCTACACAAAATGTTTACAAGCGCTCTGAAAATGTAAATGTAACACCCATTCGTTTATTGGTAGACATTATTCACAGAATTAGTTGCCTGTAGAATTTGAAATAAAGTGTACAAAGAGCTAACTGATTGTTTAAATACATGTATTTAAAATATTATTTTTTGTCGTGCTTACCGAATATCATAGTCAAGTTTAATTACGCAAATGGTTAGCTTGTTTAATGTGCGGCATCATAAGTGACATTTGTTTTCATTTTCAACAGTTTCAATGCCAATAACAAATGTAGATTTTCTTTGGCCGAGTGGTTATAATCTATACATACATTCATTTGGCCCTAACTGTTGCAGGTTAAAAACCTAGTAGGGACTGTGATTTGTTCTTGTGAGAAAGTTATCTAATTATAAATTTTATCATAAATTAAGTTTTTCTTCTTTGGTGTCCTATCGTCCGTAATTAATAGAAGGAGGGTCAACTAAGAACTTTCTGTAAAGCTGGTTAGTCGACACATAACCAGTATTAGCGTAGCTTAAAGCCTAAGGAAAGAAATGAAACAACAACAACAACAACAACATCTATTCATTTATTTTACAAAATCAAGTGTACTGAAAAATAAACATGTCATAAAGGTTTAACATATTTTTGTGTTTAATAAACAACACAGCGTCAACGTTCAAACATTCCTCTACATATTTATTAGAGAAAATGAATATTGTCAATAGTAAATACGTGTATAATATAATCATAACAATAAAACGAAAACACCTTTTTAAAGATATACTTTGCTCATCCTTCAGTCAAATATTTGAAGTACAGAAATCTATTGAAATAAATGCAAATCTTACTTAATATGTCTTGTTTGAATAAAAGAAAGAATACACTATGTATGGGAAGTTGATTTCCCTATAACAGGTCTTTTCTTTAAAGAAAAGTTCTTTAATGACACTGTCTATATCTTCATTATAAAGATTACCTATAGTATATAGAATTTTAAACATAACTTATTGTTTGTGTGAAGTCAAAACATGTTTATTTTATATTTACAAAGAGACTGTGTTGCAATTATCAATATTTTCTAACATAAAATTAGAGCATTTTATATCTCTAAATATCACACTTTTTATCTGCAAAATATAAAATGACGTGAAAGTTACAAAAGTTTCTTAATCTTATATGTATATTCATTATATATTCATTGTATGTAAAGCAGCGAAAGTTTACTCAACGAGATATAGCCTATATCACTAAATGTTCATCATTTACTGTGACTGATAAAGCTTTTTTTGAATTTATAGTTTTGAAACGTTTTAGATTCATTGACAAGATATTTAATAAAAAAAATAATCGTCTCGTTCTGGATGCCATATTTACAGACTCACTGAAGTTGTAAACTTATACACGAAAATGATAGCTATAAACTTGAGTTTTTCCCTACTTGCTTGGCGTCATTTTCGTTCCGTGCTTCTGTTTGATAAATGATACTCACAATATTGTCACTTCTGAGTACGTTATATGTAAACAAATATTCTTTATTTATCCTACGGTGTTCGATATACTCGTATGTCCTATTAAACGTTAAAAATTAATACAAAATTCAAAGAAAAAAATCGAAAAACATAGTGTTTTTTATCACTCACATAGAAAGCCAAAAACAAAACAAAGCAACAAAGCAAACAAACGAAAAAGTACAATCTCCATTTTCGCGAACATTATGGTAGTTTCCCACCGTTTTTGTGAAGCTATTATTGCTCAATAAAAAATCTCAGAACCGTTTTAAAATAATTCGTAGACAAAAGATTCTGTGTGAGTCAGGATTTCAGAATAAAACACACTAAGTCTAATTCCCTCAAATATATACATACAACTATATATATAGAGTGATGAGCCGTATCTAGGCAAAACTTGTTTGGTATTTTGATTTTTTCTATTAAGTGATAAATAACTTCTAAAGATTTGATTTTTCCAAATATCTATATCCGGTTATGGGAAATTTCCTGGGTATATTTTATACCTAGTTTTGCTAATGTGTACATGTAATTATTTGTTTAAGAGAGATCCAGAAAATGCATTCCATCTGAAACTATCACTAACAAACACTGAGGTATATAAAGTTTGTACCCACACTCGTTCCGCTTTGTTTACCATGGCGATTGTGCTCACTGAACTACAGCTATGAACATTGTTATTATCATACTGTGTACTACTTGTTAACTGTGTACCTTCTTGATATATAGCGTAATGCACGCCACTTTTTCCATTATTACAAACATGGGCTGAGAAGAAATATAGTCCAGTATACGGTGCAGTAAATATCCCGGTAGAACTGTCATAACCTTCACCTTGGTTTGTTATGACGGTATCGAAGATGACCTTGTTCTCTCCGTTTACTGTTTTTGTAGAAGATAGACGGGCGTTGAATCCAACAATTGGAATAAAGGACTTGTCTGCAGAGAAACAAAATAAAAAATGTCAATATCGTAAGTAAGTTATTTGTTTGTAGCTAATTCATATTTGTGTAAAATTATATTAGCATATACTTCGAAGAAATGTTATAGCTATCAATGACTTATAATTACAATCTTACAACGATCAAAGAAACAATTTCTACAAATAAAAGTTTTGATATAATCGATAAGAAGATAAATACAAGTTCTTATCTTACCTAAAAAGACTTTAAATCGGAACAGTAATGCTAACAATGTTGTATGATTGCCAAAATAAATGTATAAAAACAAAATAAATACATAGAAATAAACAAATAAAATTGATGAATAGAAAAATATAATAACTAATTGTTGTACGAGTATATACACGTGTCTCAGATAAAATTAAATTAGTTCATGTGAACATTAGCGGATGTTTCTAAATTCAACATTTTACCATTTCATATTAATTGTTGAATTCTGCCTGATCCGGTGCTAGGAGGCGTGGACGGTAGATTCCATTGGCAAGTATCATACATAACTAGACTCAATTTAACCGAGCATGCAGCAATTTAAAATTTTGTTATTTTGGAAGTTCATTAGGGATTCTTTATTTCTTGGTATTTCATTTTTATCACGTTGATATAATATTAAGAAAAACAATATTTCGAATACAACTAGTATAAGTTTTATAGCAATTATAGCTAAATTGTTAGCATTACGTATCTATAGATATTGGAGTAATTCTAGTGATTTAACATTTACGAGGGATGTTCCAAAGATAGTATCACTAAATCTTGCTGTTTTTATATAAAAAAGAACGTAAATTCCGATCATTTTAACTTGCTCTGTCCTTCAAAATATTGGTCATCTGCAAATCTACATCTGTTCAGTTAGTCAAGCACATACCATTGTTAGCAATGGGAATATACTTGACTGTAGACCCAATGATATTTCTGATTTTTTTTCCAAGACCGGTAATATTTAAGTTTTTGAAAGTAGAAAAAGTCAAGTGTGATCGCGGATGTGTTGGTTCTCGGTGAAAGAAAAGATAAAGTTGGAGCGCTCTTACTTTCTCGTATACCATCATGTAAGTGACGAATAAGTCCCGATTCGGGATGACGTATTTGTAGTTTTTATTATTATAACACTATTTCTTTAGAACTTGCATATAAACGTTATTCCTTCAGGTACAGGGATTTTAAGAACTATCTGTCCTAGCAGCACCAGAAAGCTTCATTTGCCTGATTCAAAATTAAACAACCATTATTAAAAAGTCAATCGAAAATTCAATCACACCCTTAAAAAATGACCTTTTTCGCAATGCATATCTGACGGTCGTTTGTCGCGCAACGACGTCTCATCAACAAAAGCCTTATTGTAATCACATTTGCATTATGTTGCCAATCATTTGTAGTGTTAAACAATGTACATTGTGTGGAGATCAATTATATCGTTATAAAAATATAAACAATGTTATGCTTCATTGTCCGTTCTATTAATGAGGTAGATCTGTGTACAACTTCCACGAATTATTTTCTGAAATAACGTACAAATGAATTTATAATCATCCGCCGTAATGCTTAAAATATTGGTTATTCTTTTTCATGTATCAATGAAAGAAACGGCTGGAAAAAACAAAATCGTACCTGCTAAATCTGAGAGTTTTCTCTTTTCCTCGCTATAGCTATCAGCAAACTCGACCATTGTGCGGTTGATACCACGTTGGAACTGAATTGCGTCATTTTCCATATTTCCAACTCTTTGGGACAAATTGGTCGCCACGGACATTATATTCTTTTCTTTATCTTTAACTTCCTCTATTATTTTTTCCATTTTCATTTCCATTCTAATCATTTTTTCCAAAAGTTTTTCTTCATAGTCAAATTTGGAACATATCGGTTCATCGTTTTGTCTTCTTTCATGGGGATGTCCAGATGTTATCGGAATTAAACACACAACAATTAGAATTGGTGTTAACATATTTAAGTCTTTATATATTGAACGTGACTGAAAAGACGCTCGTCCCGCAATTGAGAAGCAAAGGTAACAGCGCTTTACTTATACTGCTCTGAGTTAAGGTAGCTCATCATAGTTGATGTAAACATAATGCTTTACCCGATAAATCAAAAACGATGTTTGCAAGCTAACGCACAACTTTTATCAATCTATAAAATGCACCATTTTCAACTTTGGATTTGGTTCTCATTACGGTAGTTTTATGGAAATGAAAAAGGACTTTGTTATAATCAATGCCGCACTGAAGATAGAAATCTGATCTATTTCAAGGTGCTAGTACATAAATTAATGTTAACCACGATTATGTAAGTTTGAAGCCATTTAGGCGTTGTAAAGGTTTGATATTACCTTTGTTTTACTGGGCATTATGATCTATTTTCAATAAACAATTGGAAAAAAATATAACCAATAAAAAAAACATTTGTCTTATCTTCAAATACAATTACATTTAGAAATGTTAAAGCCGGTCCAGGAAAGTCTGTTGGCGCTATATTCGATATAGCATTGTGAGTTCCAAAATTGACCATTATTTAGATCCCAGAATAATTTCATCATTTAATAATGTCAAGATTAATGGAACATTAGAAATGATTATCCGATTATTATTTTGATTGGATGACACATAGAGAATATTGAATGCCTGTAAATTTAAATCTTGATGTAATAAACCTGTAAAATAATATTGATTCATTCAATGGGTTTTATAAATTCGTTATTGAATTTGCTCTTATATGAGATTGCCGTTATGACGTATTTAAAATTAGAATGGTTTACAGTCAAAAAGGGTAATTTTTTCACTAGTATATATTAGCCCATAGTGTAATGCTTATATTAGCGCGCTTTCACGCTAAATATATATATTTGTATTTGACGCAAATGAGTGAAGTTAGAGTATTATTACTGTTACACTAGAATTATATTGTTTTTAATAAATTGCTTTATCATACACCCATGCCGATTTTGCAACTCCATAAAGCTGTACATATATTTTGACGTGACGTCATTTATAATTCTAACACTATCGTACTAAAATGATGTTTATCACACACCCGTGCCGCTTTTGCGACTCCGTAAAAATGGTTTGCACGGTCGTGCATATATTTTGACGTGATGTCCTTTGCGTTATACAAACATAGCGTTAAGACGCGCTAAATGTTTACGGTACACTATAGGCGCGTCAATGAAATATGATTCTTTTGCACTTTGAACATTTGAACAGTCTTTATTTCGGGTATGATGGATACATTTTTGTTTGTGTGTAAATTACAGTAACTTAATTTATTGAAATCGTTGAATAAAATAATATTTTGCTCGCCAGAGGCTCTCACGATATAATTTCATAATATAATTTAATTCCATAAATTTAATGTTATGTTCAGAACGTAAAACATTGAATATCCTCTATCCATTACACTCCTGTTCCGAAGTTTATGTTCTAAATGTAAACTAATACACCAATAATATTTGAAGATTTTTATTTGTATAACTAAAAGCACACTCATTTGTGACAGCTGCGGTTAATTACAGTTCTGTCGTATTCATAGTCTTTATTTCAACATGTGTTTTTGGTAAGGTATGCTGAAAATAACTATGCAAAAAAAGAAATTTTAATAAACAATGCGCTGAAGCACCTTAAATTTTATTGACATTGTGTAATTGTAATGATGTAATTGAAACAGACTTTGTTTCATAACTTACTTGCATAAGAGTGCTTTTATTATGGGTTGGTATGTTTCTCTAACACAAATAATAATATTGGTAGTCCTTTAAATCACTTTAGCAGTACATTGTTCCAATATATGTCGATGATGCTTCATTCTTTTGATGTTTGCATTACTTATCACTCGTTTGTTAGGGTGTTTTTGACATGGTACACATTCCTTACAGGAAAACTTAATGTTTTTATTTATCTCTTCAGAAACTTGTGCCAAGAAAATTACACTTTTGTTGAGGTTTTGTCTAAAAAAAGTGTAGCAGATAATCAGGAAATACCAATGATATCTGTGAAAGAGATAATGTTTTACGGCGTTGATAAAAATGACAACCTGTTTGCTACGGGGGAAAGCACTGCTCAAAATACTTCATCTGGACTCTAAATACAATACTATGCAATGAAATCCAGCAACACATATTTAGATGCAATACTTTGTTCGAAGAAGTTCGAAATCAAAGTGCTTGAAACCAGTAAAGCATTTAAGTCAAAGTTCCATCAAAGTATCTGGCCAAAGTCTTTGTGGAAGTCGAATTGATAGGCATGAAAGTCGTAGTTATCATAGTCGTGACCGTATTATTTTTCAAATTATTAACGGTCGTAGTCTAAGCCGTAATCGTTGTTGTATAAGTCGTATTTGTGTAAGTCGATATAGACGTCAGTGTCCTCGGCTTGCATCCGTACTAATAAACGTAAAATCCTTAGAAGTGATGGTCTTTTGATTTATAGAGGTCATGGCCGTAGTCGTCGGCGTCTTCATTGAGATCGAAGTTGTAACTGTTGGCGTCGTATCCGTACTCAATATCGTCGCCATAGCTGTATTGGTAGTCATTACATGTATATTTAGAGAAATCGACATCAAAGATGTCGCGGGTGAAGCCGAACATGTACGTAAGTTCGTAGTCGCGCAATGGCACTAGTCATATTAGTGGTCTTGGTCGTTATTCTAGGTGGACGAACACATCGTAATGATCACCTAATGATCATAAAAAATATCATGCACACGGCAATAATTTTTTATGTAACATCTCGACATATACAGGTTTTGAAAGTTACATTCGGTTTATACACTGAGTTTTGTTCTTTAGATTTGTGGCACCTTTAATGTACCATTAAATTGTATCAAATTGATAATCGTCGAAAGTTCACTGTGGAAAATCGTTCTATAGTTTACAAATTTAATATTTATTATTTGTTGCGATAATATACTTTTTTCTCAATAAACAAGGATAACTAAAGAACTATTAATGGCGATATCAAAATATGCATTTATTACTCAGATTTATGACCAGGAGAACCATTTCCATTCAAAGTAAAAAAAAAAATAAAAGGACCACCTGAAGTCATATAAAAGTACCATATTTATTGTTCTGATTCACACAAATATTATTCACTCGATCATAGACCTGAACAATGTTTTTAAACATTTATGCTTGTGTCAAATAGTAAATCGAGTAACATTTTTTTAAGTAAAATATTAATGTATACACGTATCCCGCAAAACTTGGGGATACATAGGGTCTATTAATTGAATGCGAATTATATAGTTATATTAGAAAACGAAATATTAAGCAAAATTTGGTACAAAAACACTTTGTAATTATTGTAACAGTAATACTAAATTGGTAATAAACAACTAAAAGTAAACAAATCTTGAAAATCATTACACCAATAATTGGAATGGTTATTCCCCTTTCTATGTTCCTAAATAATTGCATGCATTGAATAGCAGCAATTATTCGTACTTTCATTTTCTTAATAAGCCATTAAGTCTTTATTTTATAGTTTGTTTTTAGGTCACACCAACACAATATAGGTCATAATTATGAGGATGTCCCTGCCTGCTTTACTGATAGAGGAATACCTCATATGCCCCTCTGTTCTTTATTTTAGGCACGAACTGGTACCTGGGTAGAACCAACGACATTCCGTAAGCTTGGTGGATAGCTTCTTCAAAGGAAATAATTATTACAAGGAAGACAATTGTGTCATGTTAAAATGTGTTTAGTAATCTTAGTTTTCTCCCTTGACAAGTCACGGTAATGGCTATAACTGTATATATTATTGAGTATTTTCACATCATGATAATGTATATTTGTAAGGCCTTAACATTGTAAATTTATGAAAATATGATGTATGATGTACTGACAATGTTCACATAATATCAAAAAAGTTTATTTACTTGTAATATTGCTATATTTTTATCCTTGTTTTCTATGTACAAACATTAAATATGATAGACAAGATCAACAAGGAAGGCGGCGTTCAATGAACGCAACCCACACACGACCCAGCAACAAGAACTTGTGACAAGGACCCCAAACAAAAACTTAACAGGGCGCAATGCAAAGTAAGAAAGGGCTAATCAATTAAATGGCACTGCTTTACGAACCAATCAGAAACCTAAAAATCTCTCCATGAAAATCACAGGCTAATCTATGCATCTTTTGTTGTCTTTTGTTGACAAAAAAGTACAAAACACAAAACAGTGGAAGAAATGCATTTGACAGATACCGTTTTAACATGCAGTATGAACGATAATGGACCACACAATAATGCCATGAAGTTAAATGCATTGCCTAAATATCTTCAAATAATAGAGATACACAAACAGAGTTTGCAATTATCATGTGATTTTGCTGTCAAACAAGATTTGATTGAGTCTGTACACGAGGGATAATGAAAATGTACAACATCCCCCAATCCACACCCCTATCACCAGTTTAAGCGGCACTCAATCCTCAACACTTAAACGTGCTGGACTCAATGATCTCGAAGGACCAGAAACATATTACAACACTGAAGTGAAGTACGGGGTAACTTTTTAAGACTGACACATAGCACTTGACACCTGCTGTGCGACGTATCAATATCTGGAAAAAGTGATCGCCCGGAAGCATTAAAACAGCAAAATTACATGAAGAGTGCTGACTCGGTTTGATTGAGTCTGTACACTAGTATCTGTATCGAATTATATTTTTTTCTTTTGTTGGAGAAAGACTTGACTTAAAGTTTTATATATGAAAGCTTCAGTCTAATTTCTCTTACTATGACTGTACAATTTATTACTTGTTAATCATGTTAATTTAACGTACATAAATAAGGGATCGTTTTTATCTAAATGTATCAAATAAACACAACATTTGAAACATAAAATTAACACGGAAGGGCGGCATTCAATGAAGGAGCCCAGCAGAACACGAAACAGGACAGGTCATACGGCCAAAAGAACTGACTGGATGTCATTATATAACAGGAAATCATAGCAACCTACAATTAATAAACGGAAATTCAAAATTACAGCAAACAATTCAATACTTTACAACTTTCCTTTATTAAAATTAGTGGTTAATATCAGATATCGTCTTTAGATGCTTAACAATTTTGTATGTTATAACGACGATAATAATATAAAATAAAATAATTGAATCTTGGCATAAACATAGCAGATAAAACAAAAAGTATCTAGTTAAGATGTAAAGAAAACGGCACAAATCAAAACAATATGTACTTTGTATGTATTTGATATATCTATGTCATAGCTAATGAAGTATAACGGAGAAATTATGGTACTTCGTCCAAGCACAATAATAATAATTGACAGTCTATATAGCTTGTGTTTGTAGAAGAAGCAGGTTGCAAGCGATACACAAGTTACTTCAAAGGTTTAAAGACTCAATATGCCTCAGAAATGCTATAATTGTTATTCCTCAAAATCTGGAGAAATTCCTCGGAAGAATTAATCACATCAAAATTACATGAAAATAGCAGACTCGGTTTTATTGAGTTTGTACTTGTGAGGTAATGAAAACGAGAAACATCCCTTAAGCCCCCTAGCGCTATCTTTGGTAACTCATGCGTACTCGTTACGAATACACTTCATTGGATGTAGCACCGGCTGAGCGGTACTCAAAAACATTTGTTTTTGTATTTTGTTTAAGTTTTAAAAACATACATATATGCCATATACATAAATTTAATTATCTTTTGCTGATTTTGTTATATTGGAAATTGATATAATAAGTATAGTTAAATGTGTTTTGTATGGAAGTCAATATACTACTTTGTTTACATTTTGCTACTTTACAACACAATACTGCACCTTCAGCTTTACTCTTTAGTTGTTAAACATCTAACATGCTCTTAATCCATTATTAAAACATTATCAAACACATGTTTGACATATCTAAAGAATTAAACAATATAGATTTCTGAGTCATGATGTGCCTTTAATATGATATAAACTTTGCCGATAACTGTTTTGAATTAGAGTCTTTTGGCGTCAAGAAATATTAAGGTTCTGCTTCACGTTTATATACAATATTTGTGCACATAAGCCAAGACACAGGAGTGTTATAAATCCATTTAATATAAACGATATTACACTAGTGTAAAAACACTTGACGTGACGTCATTTGCGCTATATACAAAAAATGCGTTAAAATGGGCTAATGTTTGCCCGTACGAAATTGACTCTTTGTAACTGTAAACCGATCTTATTATAGATATAAGATGCAATACTAAATTTATAAAACTCGTTTAATATAACAAAGGCTCGCATAATATGATTTTATTTAACTTGTACAATAAATATAGTATCAAATTACATAAATATATGCATTTTCCTTCCTTTCAAATACTTATTTTGTCTGTCTTCATGCCGATTTTAATACATTTTGGTCAAATCTCGGCTATTTTGTTTAAAAAAATATCATATGACAGGTTTCTGAAAAATGCAGATTTGAAGAACGAAGCAATAATGAAATAGAGCGAATTCTGCACTTATGCTTTTGACAGTCAATATAATATTATAAAAAATTAAATTTGCTAAATAAATTACAATATAAGATACAATCTTCAAACACATTTCAATATTTCTTTGGAATGTGTTATTCATTAGCTGTTAATGGCTAACACTTACTTTTGTTGCCAAAAGGCAGAAAATACAATGTTTACAATGGACAATACAAAAAAGTGATTATCCTTATAAATATACAGCTGTCCTATCTCTTGTTTTTTATTGGTTTTATAGTGTTTTAACATGGTAAAGGTCATATGGTGCCGAAAAAGGTAAGATGACTTTGGCTAACCTCGTGTGTTACCATCTGGAAAGCAACACCAGGGGTCAAAACAGCCTCACGTACTGGAGCTAAGAGATCGTTGACAGTTATTCGAACCAGTTAAGTCGCCCCTTACGATCACACAGGGTTAAATGTTGGCTGCATGCCGATGCCTCAAGCCCTCAACCCTTATATTACAGATTTTCAAAGATTTTTTAATAAAATCAAAATGTTTAAAGGATAAAGAATGGCTGACATAAAAGCGCTTTTATTTTATTGAAAATATTTGAAATAGTAGCTTTAGGATAAAAATGGTATTAAAGTCAATCGTTTATGAGAGAAACGAACGTTTATTTATTTATTTTTGTGAGCATACGGGCGCATCCATGTTAACGATTTAATTCTCGCGAGACCGAGAATGTGATGTCATATACCCACTTCCGGTTAAATCGCGCGCTATGAAAAATAACAACAACAACTCGACTCTGCTGGATTTTTCCCCATTTATTTCACTGTGAAATAATTATTTACGAAAAATTTTATTAACTGATAGCTTGAAAAGTGTGTATATATCGTGTAGCTATAATTGAAGTCAAGATATGTGACCGGATCACCTGTGTATCGAAAGTAAATATGACGCTGGGCCAGGCTTAATTGTGTAAACAAATTGACTCTGGCTTTCTCTGCTGGATTTTTTTTTTTGTTATAATCATTGCGAAAATTCATGTAAAGTGTGTTTATATTGTGCAGCTATAATTTAAGTCACGATATGTGACAGGATCATCTGTGTTTTGAAAGTTAAACATGCCGCAGTGCCAGGCTTTTAATTGTGTAAACAAAAGTGGATGTGGGAAAAGTTTTTTCCCTATTCCGGATCCTCTTAAATCTTACGATCACAGGAAATTGTGCAAGAAATGGATTGAAAACCTTCACAACAAGAAATTAAATCTGCAAACATTTAAAGCTCATCGACAAAAGGTTGTGTGTGAGGACCACTTTACGGATGATTGTTTTGAGGGCCCATACACATGTAAAGTGGCACAATCTCTGAATTTTAAAAGTAAGAGAAAGGGACTAGTATTCGGTTCTGTTCCGACCATTGTTAATGTAAACAATCACTCAACCACTAAGAATCGACCTTCAATAGATAACATTCGTTTGAAACGATTAAAAGCACAGGTAAATTATTTATTAGCTTATTATATGAAGTCATAATTAGTTCTTAGTTACACTGATTAGTCTCAATGGACATTTTCATATTAATATATTAATAAATATACATATTTAATGAGAAAATTTGAAGACTCTTAAAAAAAACAAATGTATATGTAAAAGTTTGCCACAGTCATTCTGAAAGTACAAAAATATTTGCTACGAAACAAAAGATCAAATCAGGGTCAACTCGGCCCAAATCATACTCGTTACCCGAGTCAGCTCGGCACGGATCAACTCGGCCCATAAGTATATATTACTGGTAATGATTACTTTTATTACTTTTTATATGTTAACAATCTAAACAATCTATATATATCCTAATATAAATTTTAATAGGGGGGCGAGTTGACCCGTGCCGACTTGGTCTAGGGCCGAGTTGACCCTTTACCAAAAGATCTATATCAATCAGATGCATAGTACCAAGCCTTTGCTTGAACTGTTATTGTGTCAGTTGATACAGGAATTAAGAAGGAACATTTAATGGAACTTAGACACTGTCACAGTTGTAGTTAGTAGGTATTCTGCGGTATCCAGTATTCTGTGCAAATTAAGATACTCAACTTTCAATAACACAATTGAATATTGAGGGTAAGCAGCTGAGTCACCCCCACCCCTTCCAGTCATTTTCGAACCTATTAATGTCCCATTTGTTTTGTTTTTTTTATCTTTTCAATATCAATCTAGAGCTGCCATTGATGGAGACAATATCAATGTATCGTTGATATTTTTTCTGTCAATCAATATAAATTGATACACATTTGATGAAAAACTGTTTAACTTTTACAAAAGCAGGTGGTCATGTCTAACATTAAGCTGTTGTCTCATAATGGAATTCTTTCATAGCAGTGATGACAAAAAATGCAGTTACCAGGGATTTTTTCCGGGATATTGGGAACACAACCCATGATCCATACCCATGGGAATGGAAATTTCAGCAGTGTTTAGTTAAAAATTGGGAAAAATGCATTTAGCACTATTACAGTGAAGAAGCCTTTGTTTGCAAAGATTATAGAATTTAGGAATATATTTCGGTGTATCGCCAATATTTGTCATCCGATTCCAATCATAATTAATGTATAGTCATTATGCTTTGTAATGAATCAATGACAGAGCTCTCTAATAGGGGTGTAACAATACAGCAAAAACCATATTGCAATATATTGCCATTTTGCTGAAGCGTATTGCAATGTATTGCAAATTATGCGGCCGCTTATTGACTTTTAAGTGTACTAGTTGTCGGATACTTTTATCTTACGTTGGCGCCAACAAAATTTGTACAAAATTAGAAGGCAATTAATTGAAAATTATGATTTTTATAAAATACCGGTTTACAAAAAATGGTACCGCGGTACAAAATTTATTTTTTCATATTGCAATATATCGGTATACCGGTAAACCGTTACACCCTTACTCTCTAATCATGTGTCTATTTTTGTTCCTTTTGAATGTTACATTCTGTAACATGTTCCTCTGGTGTATTGATAATTTAAATCAAAGCCTTTTTCAGGAATTCATTACAATCTGTCCGAAAGTCTGCAAGTTCTGTCTGCATGAAACTCTTGTTGTCCAGGTTAAATTCCCTTATTTTTTAACATTAGACCTTGTCTCTGAATAAAATTTCAAGAAGCTAAAAATATCTTGCTTGAACTTTGATATTTCAATTATAAGCTACATGTATGTCATCCCTTTTTTATTTCCACTATCTTTTAACTCAGATGGTTACCTTTAGCTGAATGTTAATATTTTCATGGTGTATGGAAATTGCAAAAGGGAGATAACTCTGCTTAAATAAACAATAATGACATGACAAAGCCAATGTTTGTTAATGATTGTCATTGATATTTAGATAAATGCTTTATTCAAATGACTGATAAGATGCCGAAAGTAAAGAATAATCTAACTTTATTTCTTTCAGTTAAAGGAAGAACTAAACATACAGAAACTCGCACCGTTTACTTCTGAATATGCTTCTGTGAAGAAAGTTGAAAAGACAGCACTAGATGAAGAAAGACTTGAAATTTCTGCACTAAAACAGGTAAAACTTGTACAATACATTGGGGGGGGGGGGGTTGTTGTTGTTGGTTTTTTGTTCACTTTGTGTAGATTTTGGCTTGTTTCAAAAGTTTTAAATTATGGAGATCTTCACCTTAAAAATTCCTGCCAACATTTACTGATTAAATTTAACCCTGCTGAAAATTTTGAACAAATTATGAAAAATATAATTTTTATGCTAAATGTGTCATTGTTCTAGCGGGTCGGTTCTAACCTATAAATAGAAATGTAAATTACATTTATTTATGTTTTGATGTTTTTAACATAGTGTGCCGTGTGTGGTGTAAATTATATGTTTATTATTTATGTCATTGCTTCAAAAATCAATATGAGCTGCCACTTGACAAAACCAACGTAGTGGGTTTGCGACCAGCATGGATCCACTACCAGACCAGCCTGCGCATCCGCACAGTCTGATCAGGTTCAATGCTGTTCGCTTACAGGCCCTATAACAAGTAAAAAAAACTGCTAGCGAACAGCATGGATCCTGATCAGACTGCGCGGATGTGCAGGCTGGTCTGGATCTATGCTGGTCGTAAACCCACTATGTTGGTTTTGTCGTGACACTGCTCATATGTATCTAGACTAAAATCAATGTCATTAATTTAAATTAATAATTTACCTAGTCCCAGACTTTCCTCTAGAATAGATATGACGAACAACCTTAAGTCCTAACTACACAAATAAAGTCGTTAGCATAAAGTGTTTATTTTCAATCATCTCTTCGATTGAGGAACATTTACTTCAGCGTTTGGGGGGTTTATTTTAGATGATTCAAGTATATCACCTTTTAAAGTAGAAACGTTTATGAATTCATTAAAAGACAGATTTTAAAAACAAAACGGATTTAAAATGTTTTTCTTTCTTTTTATATTTGTGAAAATTATTCTGATAACGTCCGGGCATCCCCATGAAAAAAGAAGAAACGATGAACCAATTTGTTCAAAATTTGACTATGAGGAAAAACTTTTAGAAAAAATGATAAGAATGGAATTGAAAATGGAAAAGATAATTGAGGAAGTTAAAGATAAAGAAAAGGAGGTTTTGACCATAGCGACTGATGTGTCACAAAGAGTTGGCAATATGGAGAATAACGCCTTTCAGTTTCAGCTTGATATCAACCAAACAATGATTGAGCTTTCTGATAATTTCAAAGAAGAAACAGCTAAGCTTAAAGCTTTAGCAGGTATAAATAGTTTTAATAGTTTTAGTTTTAACTAAAATTGATTGTATGGTTTGATTAATGTTTGACGGTAAGTATCTTCCCATTTGCCCCTGGTTTTTATTTCCTTTATTTACCCCCCCCCCTTCCTCGGGACTCCTGTCCCCTTCCCTTGTGCCTTTTCACTTTATCGGCCTATAATTCAATCATTTATTTGTTTTCTTTGAGTTCCTAATCAGTTACTGTTTGTTTCTTTTTATGTATGATTTTAGTGATTGAGCTGCCCATGCTCTGACTTTTGCCCTGTTCTGTTTTTGTTTTGGGGTCCTTCTGGGCTCTTTGTCACTGGCTCTTGTTGCTGGATTGTGTGGGGGTTGCGTTTATTGAACGCCACCTTTTCTTGTTTCTTGTTGATCTTGTTTATCATATTATATATATATATATATATATATATATATATATATATATATATATAATATATATATATATACCAATTATATATATATATATATATATATATATATATATATATATATATATATATATATATATATATATATATATATATATATATATATATATATATATCAATTCAACTGAGGTATCCTTTTCAGAAGACATACCGATTGTGACAAAATAAACTAATTTAAGATAGCACTCCTCTTTTCACAAAGACAATTATTTTTCTTGTCGTCTGACTTCTCCGTTTTTCATCAAACTTAAAATGTTCTACATCACTTATAATAGTTCATGTAGAAAGTTGGATAGTTATGAGATTATCAGTTTATATTAGTAATTAATATGTGTAATTGTCATAATTTTCAACACTGGTTCTGCTCTTTTGCAGACAAGTCGCTGTTGCCTATCGTCGGATTCAACGCTCGTTTATCTTCGACAAAAACAGTGAACACAGGGAACAAGGTTGTCTACGATACCGTAATAACAAACCAAGGTGAAGGTTACGATAGTGTCACGGGAGTATTCACTGCACCGCTCACTGGACTCTATTTCTTCACAGCCCATGTTTGTAATCAAGGAAACAAGGATGTTCAGTACGCAATATACCAAGAAGGTACACTCATAACCACCAGTACACAGTTTGATAATGGCGGCGTTTATAGTTGTAGCTCTGTAAGCACCATCGCCATGGTAAACAAGGCGGAGCGGGTGTGGGTACAAAGTTTAGATACTTCTGTGTATTACGTCGACACACGCAGATGGAATACATTTGCTGGATCGCTTTTGATCAGACAAGTTCGTTGATTGTATAAAAAACACTTAATATTTGTTTATATGGTAAACCTGAAAATATATTTATCACATGACTCAGCATAAAACCTTGTATCTGTAGAATACACATAGTTTATAACACAAAAGCGCGCACTTAAAACAACGTCAAATACATATACTTTTATTCATCGTAAAAAGGAATATACCATTCTTTTGTTGTTTTCTATGAAAACATGAAAATAGTTGAAGTTTGAATTAAGACTGAGAGATTGTCCTGGTTTTCATTACCTGTTTCCTAATTATCTTATTTATATCTTATAATGCTACTTAGCAAGGAGGTTTTTTATTGAGATTAAAAAATGTCACCTAAATATCATGAATGAAAAAATGACCGAAACAAAGAAAATTGAGAAATTAAAGCAAATAAATATTTTTCAAGGGACATAACAAGCATTTGTACTTTCCATGTTTAAATGTTAGATTCTGCTTAATCCGTTGTTTAGGGGTGAGGGCGATTACTTGAACTTTACAATGCCGTCCATGAACAGGGCCTGCATCATTTCAGTCTTGTCGTTTTGGGCGTTCTTTTGGGATTCCGTTTTCTGTACTTCATGCCAAGTGTTAGTATTTTCATAGGCGTTAAATTAGCTTCATTATAATTTTTGCCAGATTTTAACCGCTTGACTTTTTAGTTCAGTTATTTCATTCACCAAGATCCTTTGTGTCGGCACACATTATATTTTTTATTTTGTTCCTTTGAAAACGTCATCATTAATGTAGATTTAAGGTCTTTGATTAGTATTAGAAGTAAGTTAATAAATGTCTTCCTGGCGATGATAGGGTGATAGAGGTTGGGAAGTTCTCAGTGAATTTTATCTAAGAAAACACTGTCTGTTTTATATTTGTTATTCACTCATTCAAATCCGCTACAAATCTATGCGGGATAACTTGTTTGACGAGATAATGATAGGGAAATAATATTTAGATTCTCGTACATTGGTTTATTTATTCTGGCATTTCATATTGTGATTATTTTTGCATATGATACAAACAGAAAAGAACATTAAAATTCTTGGCAAGCTGAGTAATGCTCGAAGGCCACGCTCCGTCGTACGAATCACATAGCCTCGTATTTCAATGTTCTTTCTATTATATATCCGACCTATGTTTGTTTTATAATAATTTTTTTGATTTATTGCTCATTGGATCGATAATTAATCTGGAATAAAATTAATGTTTCTGTTTTTGTGTAGTTGCATTATAAATTTCAACTATTTTTTTTCTTCAAATTTATATAGAGGGGAAATATGTCTACGAGTATAGTGTTCTGCCTTCGCTTATTGGGGCAGGATCTTTCACAATGGGGAATATCTAGATATAAAAATATAAGAAAGTTTAATCCACTTTTCCAGCTTTTATTTAATTTGTAAACACATATACTTATTAATCAGGCAGAATGATCTAACATAATAACATAATATTTAAATTCTGACATATCAATGAAAGTATGTTTTACATTCATTTACTTGAATTGCTTATAAGACAAAAATAGATATTATTCAATATATTAAGTAACATCTTGTTACCTGAAGTTTTTAACAAAGTTTTTAACATACTTATATTTTCAAGTATTCAAAATAAGAACAGCTTAAGTGTTCTTAACTAAATTTTAGTTGTTTTACATCAAACATTTACAAAATGTACATAGAATAAAATACAACTTACCTAGATATAAAAATATAAGAAAGTTTAATCCACTTTTCCAGCTTTTATTTAATTTGTAAACACATATACTTATTAATCAGGCAGAATGATACTGCCAGCTGGAAAAGGGATCTTTTAAGGGGTTCTCTCACTGTCCATTGGTTTAACTTAGTTGACCAATAATTAAACATTATTTCTGGAGAGGCGGAACTACAAGTTCTGGCTTAAGTCTGAAAATACTTAAGAAATAACTTACATATTATGTAATCACTATCAAGAAATTTAATTGTCTATGTTTTAAAAAGAATTAAGTTTATCACAGATGTAAATATAACAAGCATTTTGCAATTCTTTGTCTGGTGTAAAAGGTTTTTAGCACATTGGCTTCTCTGTAACAACATGTCACCTGTTTGAGACATTCTAATTGACCACATACATGTACTTGAGATTTAACAAAGAAAAAGGGTATAATTTAGTTTTATCATATATAAATTTATGCCTAATTTTGAAATCAGAAAATACAAAATAAAATTTAATTTAAAATGAAATTCAATACAAATATTTCACTCACTTATTTAATATACACAATATAAAATATAACAAGAAAAAAGCTAATTTTTCATAGCATGACAATAGTAACGTGAAAATATTTAAACAGATTGCCTTGAAATTTATGTGTAAAAATTATACATAACTACAACATTATGTCATGCAATAGATATCCGAATATGGAGAAAAAATATATAAATAGGCCTGTGAAACATGAATTAGGAAGTATTCGTTTAATGTAAAATTTAAAAAGGTAAGCAAAATTACTCTTAGATGAAAACAAGACAATCACGTAATCTAGTTTTGTTTGTTTGTTTATATTTAGATTTTTTTTTCACAATACAAAACATGTATGCATATACATACAATATATAGAGATATACATTTAAAGAGAAGAAAACAGTTTTTAGGTAGGATTCTACAAATATTTTAAAGAAAAGTAATTCAATAGCATCTTGCTAATATTGTAACAGGTATTAATATTGTTATTTAAGCTCGATTGCGGAACAAGTTTTTGCAATTTATTTTAATCATTTTCGAGACTTCCTGACACTAACCAGTTCTAGTGTGATGTGTAGAAACATTGTCAAGACCCGCTTAGAGCTCGAACGAATGATCCCTGGGTGGGGAGGCAGACACCTTAACCACTAGGCTACCGCTCCACTAACTAGGCCATTGCTCCTCTTGTAAGATTGTAATACGTTATTAATGGCAGATCTATTGTTAATAAAATATTAAAAAAGGGATTCCTTTTTAGAATTATTACATTACAATCCCATAGAACTTCTTGAACATAAAGGCAAAATTCCAATATGACATATTACTTATTTTTTCTGCTTATGGGAAACAACTCCTACTATTTTAATAGTAATGTTCAATTAAGAGTTGTACATCTTGTCACGAATATCCTGAATACTAAATGCATTAATATCATTTTGAAGGAAAAAAATAGAAAAATAAAAAGGCAGTGGATTTAGTACCCAGGATCAAAACATAGTCTTGATTTGACAGCAAGGAAACATACTTGCCCAATATATTGTCAAACTGTAAACCCCTACAGTAACTTTTAATGCGCATGCGTAATCAACAGTCTTAGGTGTATGGGCATTGAATATGAGTCTAAATCTATTTAGACTGGGAAAATTAAGTTCAGTCAGTGAATATGATACTGCACCCAGTGAATATGATTTTATAAAAGTTCTGTTGACTACTGTTTGTACCAATGAGATTGCAGCCATATTTAAATCATATTATAAAGGACAGTAACTTCTTTTTGCAAAATGATTTCTTTGCAAATGTAGAACGTTCTATAAAATCAAAGATTTGACAAAAATATGCAGTTTATCCATGGAAAGTCATCTCAGCGCTATATTATTCGACGGTAGGTATTGTGTTTACATACAGGAGTTGCGATTAATATTAACAAGATTATATTCACTATCAACCAAATCGCCAATCTCCTGTAACAGTTGTCTAGTCCAACTCACAGACTAAAGGGTAGTAATGTCATAATAACTTTTGATGTATACATTTGGGATTTTCTTCCCCTTTCATAAAAGAATTATAGAACTATTAATGTTTAATAAAACATCGTACATTTTTTAAACCTTAAATGCGTTTCTGTTTCCATACTTAATATAAAATAGGTAATCTAGGCAAGTCAATTTTGCAAGAAAATAAGTTTATTTATTCTATACCATTTGTATACATCCAACCGCTGCCTATGAAATATTCTACGTGACCATTCAATTTATTTAATACAGAAGACACTAACTGAATTTGTTCCATTCACACGGATATTGAACATGTTGAACTTACAAAATAAAACTTTCAGCTAAACTATTTTTGTATGTTACGAATATACAGGATACTGGAGAAAGAATTGTTTTTGACAAAGCATTTATTGTTCATTAATTTCATTAATAAAGTATTTGTATGGATTGTGAGTATACCATTTTCTTTTGTTATGAACATTGAATTTCGTATTTCCCCGTATCAGTATTGACTACACGTAAACCATTTTCATCTGTTATGAGCACTCTTATTTTACCTTTGATTGATCTATATGAAATACTATACCATTTTTCTTCCGTTATGAATATTCATATTTTGCCTTATTTGTCTGAATTTTGTGTATATCATTGTTATCTGTTATGAACATTCGTATTTCCCCTATTGGTTTGGACCATGTGTATATCATTGTAATATGTAATAGATATTGATTTTTATATTTTATCATAATTTTATCAATATATGTGTAAACCATCCTCATCTGTTAAGAATATTCCGTATCCCATCGTCACACATTATATACATGTATATACAAATATTATATGTATAATTATAATATTAGATTTATCCGCTAGAGGATTTAATCTTTTATTCAAATCTTACAACTTAACATTTTTATTATAATACCCCAATAGGGCCTCAAAATAGTTATGACAACTAACATTGGGTTATATCATATATAAGGCAGAACAGATTCTGGGAACGGTCTTTCAATCGTGGCTCACCATAGAAGAGGTAGACTACATTTCAAATCTTAAATCCCACCACAAACCCACCCATTCAATTCATTGTGTTTTTTCTTTGTTTTTCCTTTCTTCCTTTATTTATGTTTTCAGATAACACTATTAGCATGTCATGGCTGAAAAAGAAAAAATACAGGAAAAGTTAATGCCTATGATTCTCAGCGATCGTTATCGGAGCTGATCAATTTGTAAACAGACATGTAAAGTGATTTCAACATATGTACCTGTGTAGTTGAAGCATGTGCTACAACGTTTTTGCTTGCAACCGTTGCCGGGGCAAAAAAAGTTATAGTAAAGACATTTAGTAAATTTAACTATTCGCAACACATATACATTTCAATGGGTTAAATGATTAAAATGCTTTTATCCAGCCATTGGCTGTTTTCATGCCAACATTTTTTATTAATAAATACTAGTAAGCTTTTTTTTTTTAAACTGATTTCTCTTTTCTTTCATTCCTAAGTTGTAATGATTGAATATTAATATATATTTGTTATCTTCATCTGATTATGATATTTAGTTTGCATAAGATATTCTCCTTCTTTGATTATATAGGTATGACATTATCATCTATTATAAAATGTCATGCAAATAATACGTATATCTTTTGTTTTACTGGCGGGCGTTTAACTCATCCATTTGGTGTCGGAGTAAACAAGTATCATACGAAACCTATTAGCGTTATCTTAAAGCAATCACCCGTGAACCACGGTGACTAACTCACGTGACATTTTATGATTTGCGTGCGGCAAGAAAAAAAAGACACAATAAAGCAACAACAAAAAAATAGATGACCCATATTTCATTTAATTCTAAAGCATTTCATAATTGTTGATAGTATCAAGTGTAAAAACCCCGTCATTCTTGTATCATCTTATACGATGTTTTCGGCAAATGTCAACATTTTTATGGTAAGTGAAACCGTGTATTTAAATAATCAGATATCACGCGATTTCTCTTAAACAAAAAAGGTTGTCAAGAAGACATTTTGTGTATGGGTTCCGCGCTAGAATGAGTAGGCTCTATACTTTATTTTATAAAATATATATTGAAATATTAAACAATTTATAATAGAAAATAAAATGTGGACCGTCTTTTGTATTGGTTTTTATCCACGCAAAACACAAAAAGTATAGCCGTACAATCTTTGTCGGATACGACATAGAAAATTGCTATATACAATTTCAAAATGACAATAACAACATTATACGAGATTCATGTCATATCATTACAACTTTATGTAAACAAAACCGTTTTCCTCATTTAAAGAGAGACCTGTAAAATGCTTAAGTTTCAATTTTGCTTAATGTACAACGTAATTCCCCTACACAACATGTTTACAAGCGCTCTGTTAAAATGTGAATGTAACATCCTTTCCTTAATGGGTAGACATTATTCACAGAAATAGTTGCCTGTATAATTTAAAATAAAGTGTACAAAGGGCTGACTGATTGTTTAAATACATGTATCTAAAATACTATTTTGTCATGCTTACCGAATATTATAGTCAAGTTTAATTACGCAGATTGTTTGCTCGTTTAATGTGCGGCCTCATAAGTGACATTTGTTTTTTATTTTCTACAGTTTCAATGCCAATAAGAAATGAAGAACATCTTTTGCCGGGTTGTTATGATAGATACATTCACTTGGCCCTAACTGCTGCAGGTTAAAAACCTAGTAGGAACTGTGATTTGTTCTTGTGAGAAAGTTATCTAATTATAAATTACCATGAAGGTGAGTTGTTCGCCTTTGATGTCTGGGTCATTAATTACTAATTGAAGGATGTCAACTTAGATCTTTCCCCAACGGTAAAGCTGGTAGGCCGTCACATATCCACAGTGTCGAGCAAATAAATGAAATAAAAATAACAAATCCTGTATTTTACAAAACCATGTGTATTGTAAATTAAAAATGTTAGAAATGTTCACCAGTTTCTAGGTTACAATTTTAAATGTTTAATAAACAACATAGCATGAAACATTCCTTCAAACAATTGTTAGTAAATGATCAGTCATATAATATGTTTATATAATATCATGAAAACAATAAATTGATAATACTTTTGTTAAAAATATACTATGCACTACCTTTAGTAGAATATTTTAATCACAGAAATAATTGAAATATATGAAATTCTTACTAAATATATCTTATTTGAATAAATATGTCTTATTTGAATGAAAGAAAGCATAAACTATGTATGGAGAGCTGTGTTCCTTATACATGTCTTTTCTAAATAAATGACACTATTATATATTCATTTATTACCCTTCCAGATTTTTTCCGCCTTTTTGATTGGCTATTGATCACCCGAAAGAAATTAATATTACCGAGCCAGACGGGTAATATATACACTAAATGTTTCCGTTGGGTACCCCACGTTGTAAACAACATGCGCTTTGGCGATGCGCGTACGGTTTGATCTTACACGATGTAAATTCTGATTTACAAGAATTTTTTAACTGTCAAATGATAAATATATACAAAAATAGAGTAATGATACATATTCTCATCAGTATTGAAAACAAATATGACCTTGTGAAAGCTTGATATTAATTCCAAAAAAGTGCGTTCAACAGACTACGCCTTTTCTCTTGTTTACATTCGTTACGTTCGCAAGAATGTACGTCATGTATTTATGTGACGTCATGTTGTGGTGAAGGGGTACCCTAAAGGGAATCTTATTTCGACGTTTCATTTGAAGTAGCAATGATTTATTTTAAAATCGTCTTAGCTCGACAGGGGAAGGGTAATAAAATTATTATGTTGGTTTTGGAGTGATATATGTGGATATATTACCTGCCAAGATAAAATATCACCCGAGCCGTTGACAGGTAATATATCTACATATATCACTCCAAAACCAAAATAACATATAATATATAGGCAATTTATAGAGTGCAGAGTTTTACACATAACATATCTACTTTGTTGAAAATCAAAACAAATACATATTCTATTTACAAAGAGACTGTGTAGCAATTGTCTGTATTTTCTAATATACAATAAGAGCAAAGTATATCTTTTGAATACCACACGTTTTATCTGCAAAATATAAAATGACATATGCCATATTTACCGACTCACCGAGGTTTTCAACATATACACCAAAATGATAGCTTTAAACTTAAATTATTTTCGTACGCTCAACCGTTGAATTCTTGGCGTTATTTTCTTTCCGTGCTTCTGTTGAATAAATAATCACAATATTGTCACTTCTGAGTACGTTTTATGTAAACAAATATCCTTTATTTATCCTTTGGTGTTCGATATACTCGTATGTCCTATTATGCATTAGAAATTAATACAAAATTCAAAGAAAAATGAAAAGTACAAAGAAAAACAGTGTGTTATTTTTCACAACGACACACACATACATAGCCTAAAACAAAACAAAGCAAACAAACGAAATAAATACGATCTCCAATTCCACGAACATTATGCTGGTTTCCCATCGTTTTTTGTGCAGCTATAATTATTGCTTACAAAATCACAGAACCGTCTTAGCATGATTCCTAGACACAAGATTCTGTGGTAAATTGTTTATGAACTTCAAGTTTAGATCCACGGATTTCTGAAGAAAGCACATTAAGTCTACGTACTTGCCTAAAATATATACATATACTATAAACAGAGTGATGAGCCTTTTCTAGGCAAAACATATTGGGTATTTAAATTATCTTTATATTAAGTGATTGATTGCAAGTAAACACATTTGTTCCTCATTATCAATATTTATATCCGGTTACTAGAACTTTCCTTGGTATATTTTATACCTAGTTTTGCTTTTATATAGTTATTTGTTTAAGAGAGATCCAGAAAAAGTATTCCATCCGTAATAATCATTATAAAACTCTGAGTAAGAGTGTACCCACACTTTTTCCGTTTTGTTTACCATGGCGATTGTGCTCACAGAACTACAACTATAAGCACCGTTATCATCATACTCTGTACTCTTTGTTAACAGTATATCTTCTTGACGTATGTCGTAATACGTAACATTATTTCTCTCTTTACAAAGCTGAACTGAGAAAAAATAGAGTCCAGTGTACGGTGAAGTAAATATCCCGGTAGAAATGTTGTAACCTTCACCTTGGTTTGTTATGACGGTATCGAAGACAACCCTGCCCCGTGCAGTTACTGTTCCTATAGAAGATAGACGGGCATTGAATCCAACAATTGGTATCAGGGACTTGTCTGCAGAGAAACAAGATTTAAAAATTTCAATACTGTACGTAAGATATGCGTTTGTAGCAAATTGACTTTTGTATACAAATATATTACCAAACTACGAATAAATGCTATCAATGACTAATAATTATAATCTGAAATCGATCTCAGAAACAAACTCCACAAATGAAAGTTTTAAAATACATGCAATCGATAGGAAAATAAATATAAGTTTTGTCCTACAAAACAAGACACGTTTAGTTCGCGTAAATTTTTGTAAATGTTTTTTCAAAATTTTACCCTTATTAATTGTTGAACTCCACCGGAGCCGGTGCTAAAAGGCGTGGAATTAGTTAGAATTATTTTTCAGTACCGTACGGAAACATGCTAAATTAAAACGAGGCTGTAACGAGTTTAATTTTGTCGTTTTGAACGTTTGTAAGGCATGCTTTATTTCTCACTATTTGATTTTCTATGTTATCATAATTTTAAGAAAAAAATATATATCGAAATCAAATATACAGCTGCAAGTATTATAGCAATTATAATAAATAAATTGTTAGCATTACGTTCAAAGACATTGGAATATTTTGTTTGTGATTTTATATTTAGGTGGGATATTTCGAGCATAATGTCACTTGCTTCTTGTATAAAAATACAACGTAAGGTCTCACATTTTAACTCGCTATTTGTTCCAAGACATTAACCCTCTGCCCTCATCTTCACTTTTTCAGTCTGTCAATCAATTTCTAAAGCACATATCAGAGTTTGCAATAGTGAGACTTTATTGTAGAACCTATGATATCTATGAAATTTTACAGACTGATTATATTTAAGTTTTGGAAAGAAGAAAAAGTCATGTGGGGTCAGGTGATGTGGAAAAAGGAGAGTGTCGGAGCGGAGCGCAGTTACGTTCTCAGACGCTAAAATCTTGGTCTTGAACTACCATGATATCCCGATTCGGGGCGATGTATGTGTAGTTTTAATCAGAAAACCATTTCTTAAGGACTTGCATGTAGCCGTTTTGGCGATATTTTCCATATATCCCACCCTGTGTCCCTTTGTGACAAATATGTCGCTATAAACATGAATCCTTTTCTTTAATCTCTATTTTTTCAAATATCATTTCAATTTTTATCATTTTTTTTCCAAAACTTTTTCTTTATGATAGTCACATTTGGAACATATCGTTTCGTCATTTCTCCTTGGTGTATGGGGATGCCCAAACGTTGCAGAAATTATACACACAAACATTAGAATGTATGAAAACATATTTGAGTATGACTGTAATCAAACCTGCCTGAAAAGACGCCTTTTCTGCAAATGAACAGTTATAGGTAGTTGCTATATTGAAATTAATCATATTCATCATTGTTGTTGAAAATCAAAGCTTTACGAAAGAAAGATATTTATAATTAATTGTAAAAGGCATAGTTTTAAAACTTGGAATTGATCCATTTTATGAAAAAAGGTGCTGCTTGTAGGTATCACTGATTATGCTAAGTATAGATACTTACATACCTAGGAATGTTTTACATGGTCATTATGAAAAACATCTGTAAATAATTTGGAAAAGAGGATATGGAAACAAAAAACTTTGATTTATGTCTTTTGATTTATATCACATTTTAAATAACAATTGTACACATTAATACAAATTTAATAGTAATTGACACTGATTTCGGGACGAAAATGGTCATTTTTATATAATTGTACGCCATACTAACTATGTAAAGGTATTATGGGGACTTTCAAGCGTTCATTGGTGGGGAAAACCTGGGTTAATTCAGCGACGTTTCGTTTGCTAGCTTGATACCTTCATCATGAAAAATTCAAAAGTCCATTGGCAGGATTCAAAGCCACTGTTACCTTGGCCACTCGAACACGGGGTACCAGAGGTATGTTGAAGTTCATAAACAATTTACCACTTGAACACGGAAGACCAGAGTATCAAAGAATTGTATGCAAAAAGTAATACACTCGAAAGAAATTGGGCCAAAGAACCTTTAGATTTCTAAGCGCAATAAAGACTTAAAATGAAACAGACTTTGTTTAAAAAACTGTTTATTGACATAATGCATGAATCATTGGATGTTTATCGGATAACACCTGTTTCTCTTCAGGATCAATTTTGATATTCACAATTTTCTAGTATTTGCCAAGTGATAATGTCATAATTGCCAAGTAAGGCTTCATTATTTATTGTATAGTTCTTAGGGTGACATTTGCCATAATATAGTCTCTAAAACAAAACGATAATCATTATATATAGCGCCACATTTACATAAAGAGATGCATCTGTATCACTCAGGAGATAAAACATGTAGCCAAAATCATGCGTTTTATATGAAACAAACATCTTTCTTGAACAACAGGCTGTTAATACGTTACTGCAAACAATCAAACTGCGAAACCAAATATCAAACTAGAAATGTGTCCATAGCTCACGGGTTCCCCAACACTCCACTGTTTTGTCAATCTTATAACTCTAGATCAAAAATTTTTGGGCTAAATATGCCTCAAATTGATAACTAAAAATTCTTTACTAAGTTAAGGACAAGAACTGAATAAATCCACAAGCAAATGCCAAGGTTCATAAGTGAGTACACGGCTGACCAACATTCTTGTAAACTTCCAGGCCTACAGGTCAAATACTTTTTGAGCTATGCATGAACAAGTTGAAGATTGAAAATTTATACTATGTCAAGGGAAATAACTCAAACAAATCTGAAAAAAATCCACATGCGAAACCCCAGGTGCATAGCTTCACAGTGATGTTAATCATTTTTCCTGTTAAGTTGGTTGTTTCTAACTAAACACTCAAGGAACAAATCACACAACTTAATGGAACTGTTTTGACCAGGGCAATAACTTTTGATTACTGGATAAATCTAACCGCGAAACCAAAGTTACAGAGCAACATTCCTGTAACGTTTCATGTTTCTAGGTTAAAAACTGTTTGAGCTACGCGCGACACAAATCAAGAATTGCAAATTTTCACCAAGTCAAGGCATAACTCTGACAAAACAGAAAAAAGTCCACAAGCGAAACCTCAGTGCACTACTTTACATGCTGATCAACATTCCTGTAGAGTTTCATGACCCTACTTGAAATACTACTTAAACTACGTGCAACACAAGCTAATCATTTCAATTTTTTACCAAGTCAAGGGCAATAACTCTGATATTACAGAAAAAAGTTTACAAGCGAAACCCCAGGTGCTCAACTTCACATACTAAGCAACATGTCTGTAAAGTTTCATCACCCTAGGTCAAATACCTTTCGAGGTACGTGCAACTCATGCTTAAAATGCAAATTTTTACCAAGTCGAGGTCAATAATTTTAATATCGCAGAAAAAAAAAATTACAAGCGAAAGCCCAGGTGCTTAACTTCACATACTAAGCAACATGTCTGTAAAGTTTCATGACTCTGGGTCAAATACTTTTTTGAGCTACATGCGACACAAAATGAGAACGGAAGGATGAATGGGTGGACAGACGGATGGACGGCCGATGGTCGGACGGACAAGGGTAAATCTAAATGCCCCCCTATAGTGGGGGCACAAAAAGAAAAGTTGTATACCTTATTTTCGAATGCGATGGTATATCTATTAAACGGGCAGAAAAGTTAAATTTTCTGACTTGGAATAACTCGTCTTTATTAAAGTGACATTATGCCTATCCAAGTATATACAGTGTGTGAAAATCAATTTAAGTTTACACTTTACCTAAATTCCTTTTAATTTATGAAATAACTTCACATGAACAATAAAATAATCACGTTCGAAATTTCTGTATTATATATCGGAATTAAACTGTTAGTTCAATTTATAGAAAAAGAGTGGGACAGTCTTTCTATATTTTAAGCAAATTTATATTTTATCCTTAACATTTTCCAATATCAACAATAATAGCAGACAATTTTTAGCTCGACTATTCGATAAAAATAAGTAGAGCTATCCTAGTCACCCGAGCGTCGGCGTAACCATTTATGTTATATTAATGTTTGTACCACTTCAGATTGAAATATGGCTTTAAAACTTTGCACATTTGTTCACCATCATGCTCCAACCTGTAGACAGGAGGAGGTAACTCTATCTAGTATTTTGATAGAATTATGCCACTTTTTCGACTTAGAATCTACGTTAAAGTTTGCGTACCACCTCAAATAATTTTCAAAGACATCGACATATGGCTATGAAACTTTGTACATTTGTACACCATCACGCCCTTAACCTATATACAGGAGGAGATAGCTCTATAAACTATATAGCATTTTGACAGAATTATGCTCATTTTTTTGACGTAAAATTTACGTTATAATTTGCGTTCCACCTCAGATATTTTTATATATCATTGACATCTTGCTTTAAAACAAGTTGAAATTTTATACAATTTTGAGAGCAAAACAGGACTCTTCACAATGCCTCTAACTGTAGCATGGATTTGAAAAAAAAAAAGTCCGTTTGTGAACTTAGAAATTTTACATTATTAATGATCTTTTACTATTAAGCACAAAGAATAGACGAGCGTGCTGTCCTACCGACAGATCTTGTATGCAACACAACTTAACAAGCTACCTTTATGACCTTAATAAAAATGAAAGAAAAATACGAAAACACATGTTTTAATTTCAAATGATTGAGAAATGATTGTGTCTGATTATAGTGAAGTTTAAAATATCTCACTACTTGTATTTTATAAGAATTCTCCACTATCTTGAATGTTGAATAAATTTCAAAATCATTAAGTTGACTTTGAACGTCAACTTTGTAGCAGAATTTGATTGAGAAGGAAGATTTAAAATGGAACTGACAGATAATGTGTATAATTGGCACATAAATAGTGATTGTTCATGCGCACCACAAATGATAACATTTTCTTTCTTCTTCAAGTAGTCCTGATAGAGAAAATATAAAAATATTTCCAAGAAAAAGCATAAAATTTATTGATCATAATGATTTTGCAGTAATTTCTCTTTAACCTGAATGATAAATGGTTTTCAAACAACATTATCTTTAATTTCAAGTATGATGTTTTATCTTTAAAATGTTATGCATTGAACATTTTAAAGTAGCTACTTTGAGTGCAAAAGACCTAAAAACATAAAATTCGAAAATTTTACATAGATCAACTGGGGCACTTAAAATGGAAATATATGCATAAATCTTAATACAGAAAATTGATTTTAGAGCAATTTATAGACTTTGAGTCTTTTTTTTCTTTTTTTTCTTGCACAATAAAAGTGTTAACTATGGATAAGGGTAGTGAGCGTTTTTTAATGTTCTGAAATTTTGTACATAGTATTGGTATAGACCTAAATCAAATAGTTTAAATATCTTGAAAAAAAAGGTTCTGACCCAGTTATGTCAAAGAATACCTCAGGTGAGTCACCTTAATAAGCACTGTGATCTTACAATAAATATTGTAATATAATACCTTTAATTGTCGCTATTTCTGGTCTAAGTTCATCGTGCTGGATTTTCAAGTCGGCAAATTCTTTTCGAAGTTGACGCAGACGTACCATTAAAGCATTCAGATCGTTTTCTCTACAATTATCATTGTTTGCAAGCAACACATTCAAGTTACCAATTACAACGAGTATAGAGAGAACACATTTCATTTTTGCAACAAAATTTGATATTAAAATGTCCGCATATAATCAACAGCAACAACAATAACAATGTCCGTTTATAAAATATTATTACGTCGGAGTTTAAATTTGTCCCTGTTAATCTAACAGTCTGAAATGTTTCAACTAAATAAAGATATATTGTGTTTACGGTACATGTAATCAGTTTTTCCTTGTATCACTACACTATAATTATCATACACCTTCTAAAGAGAGCCCACATCATATTTTATTAAGTTTTATCAGAAGATAATATGTATTTACTGTTCTGTACACAACCACCTCGTATGACTGTATACAACCACCTCGTATGAGATAGAGAGATTAAATGTAAAGAAGCTTTACAGGGAAGTTTGGCGGTAAAGTTAAAGTGCCTGCCCGTGACTGAAATCATGTCCGAGGGTTAGATATGGTTCTTGAATTAATGGGTTAAAAGTATGATTCTTGAATTAAAGTAGTTATAAATGAAATTATGGCTCTTTTAATAGAATGGGGTAAAGACATGGTTCTTGAATATAAATGGGGTAAATGTATGATTCTTGAATTAAAGTAGTGAAAGATGAAATTACGGTTCTCTAAATAATGAGGTAAATGTATGTTTCTTGAATTAAAGTAAGTAAAGATAAAGATATTGTTCTTGAATGAATGTGGTACAGGTATGGTTCCGGAATTTAAATGGTTAAATATAAGGTTTATTAATTAATGGGGTACAGGAATGGTACTTGAACTATGGTAAGAGATAAAATGATTGTTCTTCAACTAATTGGGTACAGGTGTGGTTCTAGAATAGAAGTGTTAACGATAAGGTTCTAATTAATTGGGTGCGGATATGGTTCATGAATTAAAGAAGTGAAAGATGGAATAGTGGTTCTTTAATTAATGGGGTACTGAAATGGTCCAAGAATTAGATTGATTAAAGATATTGTTCTTTAATTAATGGGGTTCAGGTAGGGTTCTTGAATCAGAGGAGTTAAAGATACAATACTTGAATTAATGAAGTACAGGAAGGGTTCCTGAACTAGAGGGGTTAAAATATGGTTCTTTAATAAATTGAGTACATGAATGGTTCCCGAATTAAGTGGTTTAATATATGGTTCTTTAATTAAATTGACCTTATGCCAATCCAATGGTATAAATGAGTGAACAAGTGAATGTCAAAATAAGTTTTCCTTTTGCCATAATTCTTTTTGATATAAAAAATAACTTTACATTAACAATGAATGAACAACGCATGGATTCAAACGGTATTTTCGTAAATATCCATTAGAATTAACCTGATATATTCATTTCATAAAAAGAGTGGGGCCGTCTATTTTATTTTATATTTTAGGCAGATTTGAATTTTATCCTTAACATTTTCCAATATGAACCGTTAGTCAATCAATATTTTAACAGTCAATCTTTTGAAATATATATCCAGTTCAGCTCAACTTCACTATGAAAATATGAGCATAATGTCACTTTAATGTAATACAGGAATGGTTCCTAAACTAGAGAGGTTAAAGATATGGATCTTTAATTAATAGGGTACAGGTAGGGTTCGTGAATTAGAGGGTTACAGTACAAATTGTGTTGAAATCAGGAAGTTTTAAAATGTAATATAATATGACACTGCTATTCATTACTACAATGAATGATAAAAATTGAGGAAAATTTATGATAGAATTAAAAGAAAATATAAATAAATATCTGTGATATTAACTTCCTGCTTTCAAATCCTGTATTCATATTTGTTTTAATAATGATATTTAATATTGAAAATTTGCATTGCGGAAAAGCAGAATTGCCAGTTAAAAAAGAAAAAGAAACATAAAAGTAAATCTACTTGAGCTAACAATGCTAGTACTTGGGTTTTTATAATGATTTCAGAAGAAAGTTATTTTTAAGAAATGTACGAAAAGTATAAAATTTAGTTCAGTCTTTAAAAAAGCAATCGAGCTTTAATAAATATGTTTAAACCAAAGCTTATTTATTGTGTGTTTTGTTACAGTTTCTTATAAAAAATATTTATTTGCCATTTAACTAAGCCATCTTTTGAATGAAAAGATATTTGTTTTTATCAGTGCCAATCAATGTGCTTTTTTTTCTATTTTCAAATCCCAAAATATTTTTTACAGGAAGTTGTGACTGTTATATATAAAATATATTTAACTGACAAAATTCCTTTTTTTTATCAAATCAAAGTCGTTTAAATAATAATGTCTTATGAAGTAACATAAACTCTAGAATTTAAAGATCATTTTAAAAGTTCTCTCTTAACATATTTTTGTTGATGTTTTGAAATTTACCTAGTTATGTGAACATTTAAATAAATAAATTTATTCATTCATCTCTGTTTTCTTTCAATTTCAATTCCCATGAATGGTTCAGTTTATATTTTGAATCAATTAGCCACGGTCAATCATAAAGTCTCTGACTGATGATTCCTTGTACTCAGGATTTGTACTCAACCTTTTTCTTATTAACAAACCAATTTTGATTTTTACATGGTCTAATATAATTTAAGCAAATACATTATTGTATTTGATGCTTACTTTGAATATCAGTACATGTATACAAAATTAGGCATTTTCTTTTTTTAATCCTTGCAATTATTACAATAAGTCACAGACACTTGGTGTGTGGAGCTTAAAACACCTTAAAAAATCTAAATAAAATGTATATTTGTCAATCCCAGCACATGTACTGATCATATATATCAAAGAACTTAATATAAGCCGTTTTGAAAAAAATCATATGCATATTGACTATAATAATACACAAGATAAAAATGTTCGCCGGAAAAATCCACACACATACCGTCAACATCACCATTTATTTTATTCCATTTCCATTATTTTTCACATAATCCTTTGGTCTATCGACACAAAAGATATAATTCTTCACAATGATGGTCAATTTTAAATGTTCTTGAAATTGGCAGCCTAGCAGCCTGGAGTTGGCAGCCTAGCAGCCTAAAATCATGAAGTTGGCAGCCTAACAGCCTGGCAGCCTGAAGTTGGCAGCCTAGCAGCCTGGCAGCCTTGCAGCCTAAAGAAAACTAAGGATAGTTCAAACATGAAAACCGCCGAAAATGAATCGGTAGCACATACTCAGACCATTCCCCACCTTATTTTAATATCATGATTTAATTTTATTTTTTAAGATATTGAACTTTCAACGATTTATTTCTAAGATTTTGATTTTTTTTATTCTGACGCTCAAAAATTTGTGAAGTTAGCAACAACCTAAAGAAAACTTAGAATTGTACAAATATGAAAACGGTCGGAAATGTATCAGTGGTACTTAAGTAGAGCCGACCAGCGGTCATTGTTGAGCGCAAGAAAGATTTTCGTGTTGCTTAATGAACGTTCAGCGCTCGTGCTAGAAACTTGCATTGCTAGAAGCAATTGCGACAGCTGTTTACATTTTTATAAAGCTCTGTCGGAACATATACTGCAACACAGTTTCTAGAGTGGACGAAGCCTGCAACAGTGAAAACTCGCACCGTGTCTTCCAGCGTCCACATCCGCGTATAAAAGTTTCCTTCTGTTTTCTGCTCAATGACGCACCAAAAGTCCCATTCGTAGTCTTAGTCTTAGCACATTTTCTTGGCGGAAAAAATGTGGTTAAAATGGAGTATAAGCGACGTCATGTGTGTTATTTATGATATCATATTTTGTATGGATATGTTTGTCATGAAGTTGACGATATTCAAGGCATATTTACTTTAGGTCTGTAAATGTGTTGAAACGTGAAGAGATATACAATGCATATGTTTAAACGAACATATATTATAACGTAAAGATTTTTTGAACTAAGGAACAATAGCCATTTGCTCCATGGTTGCTGCATCCGTGGTCTTGTAGATGATAAAGCCAAATAATGAAGCGGCGTGTATGCCTCTACAATTGTTTTGCTGATAATTTCACTAGATATGTATATAATTTTCATTTTTCTCATATAAATGCGTTACGCTAGCTACGCCCCTGGTCAGGCTATCGTACAGGAATGTTGAGAATATTAGCTGAATATCTTAAATTTATATATTTTGACTTTCATTTTACATATTGATAGTCATTTTACTATGTTCTTTGATGTAATTTTAAGATTCAACAGTATAATACAAGAAAAAGCAATCTAAAATAACACAAAAAACAACAACAAAAACCGCATCACTATTAAGATGCCACAATTATTAAAAAATAAAGATCGCGATATTGAAAGAAGACGTGGAATGGTCTAAGTATGTGCTACCAATTCATTTCCGACGGTTTTCATGTTTGTACTATACTTAGTTTTCTTCAGGCTGCTAGGCTGCTATATTCACAAATTTCGAAGCGTCAAAATGAAAAAAATGTTCAACATTTTAAAAAATAAAGATCGCGATATTGAAATAAGACGTGGAATTGTCTAAATATGTACTACCGATTCATTTCCGACGGTTTTTATGTTTGTACTGTACTTAGTTTTCTTCAGGCTGCTAGGCTGCTAACTTCACAAATTTCGAAGCGTCAGAATAATAAAAAAATAATAAAATTCAATATTTTAAAAAGATAAAGATTCCAATATTGAAATAAGACGTGGAATGGTCTCAGTATGTGCTACCGATTCATTTCCGACGGTTTTTATGTTTGTACTATCCTTAGTTTTATTTAGGCTGCTAGGCTGCCACGCTGTTAGGCTGCCAACTTCAGGCTTTCAGGCTGCTAGGCTGCCAGGCTGCTAGGCTGCCAACTTCACAAATTTCGAAGCGTCAAAATGAAGAAAAGAAATAAAGTTAAATTTTTAAAAACATAAAGATCCCGATATTGAAATAAGACGTTGAATGGTCTAAGTATGTGCTACTGATTCATTTCCGACGGTTTTCATGTTTTTAATATCCTTAGTTTTCTTTTGGCTGCTAGGCTGCTAACTTCACAAATTCGGAGTGTCAGAATGAAAAAAGAAATAAAGTTAAATTTTTAAAACATACAGATCCAGATATTGAAATAAGACGTGGAATTGTCTAAAGAAGTGCTACCGATTTATTTCTGACGGTTTTTATGTTTGTAATATCCTTAGTTTTCGTTAGGCTGCTAGGTTGCCATGCTGCTAGGCTGCTTACTTCACAAATTTCGAAGCGTCAGAATGAAAAAAAAAGATGTTAAGATAAAGTTTAATGTTACTTTATCATGATTACTACCATCAACATAATCATTATCATAATGCAATCAATGTACATTTTATTTGGATTTAAAGGCGTTTTAAGCTCCATACCCCAAGTGTCTGTGCAATAAGTCATCTCAATCAGGATTGTATG